GCATGCCAGTCTGGCACGATTAGACAAAAGCGTTCACGTGCTATCGTGTCGACCTGAAAAGCGCCGATAAACATATTTTTGAGACAAATATCCCCAAGGAACCGTATGAATTGTTGTGACCGCATTTGTATGCATTATTCATGTTCATTTCCTGGGTCTGGTCGCGTTCAACAGACTATCCCCGGCAACTCGGAATTCCAAGTCTCATAATAAATGATTGAACGAACATCAGTTGGAAAGCTGTCTGATTTTTTGCTCCTGAAAGAGGAATCCGGAGGTAGACAGTCTAAGATTCCTTATTTCAACATTCATGGAGCGTAGGTATGCATAATATCGAAATCAAATTTCAATCGATGATATCCCTGCAGAAAAGTCCACTCTAATCAAATTCACCCCAACCACAAAATTCATGTTGTGAATATAACAATATATCTTTCTCTCCCTGGGATTTGATCAGAAGCACGTTTCTGGGGATCTGCAGCCCCTTGGGCTTTTATTGTTCTCACCTCTATTCCCGTCATTCCAGGAATTCAGTGACATCCGACTTTTACGAGTTATTCAATGAAGGGTGCCCATACTGCCTAGCATTTTGCAAAGTTACTGTTCCTATTCAGATTATCTCTGACAGGTTGGTATGGTGTCTTGTGTTATAGAGCAGTTTTTTATCTCTTGGAACGCACGAAACGAAATTCCTAAGATGTTCGTAGAACATCGTACGTATCTAGGGAGGATAGGGAGATGGTCCACCTTCAAGTTTTTATCTATGTTGGTGCTCGGTCACGTTGTTGGTTCTTCCTCGATGTCTCCTCACGGAGCATTTGGTCACTCTCAGGGCTGGTTCGTAGCCAATATTTGTATTTAGAAGTCATGTGGTCCTACTCCATATTCGATATATGTTGCCTGGTATGGTCAAAACTTTGGTGAACCGAGTATCCTTGGGAATTGGTGAGTTGTGTAGCCTAGGTATCCCTTTCCTAGCCTCTGGAAGGGTTATTTCCATCAGATATACTCTTTCATAGGGAAATTATGTCAGATCCATCACGAAAACTCGGATTTTTATTTCGTGTGAAAATCTGCTTCACACCTCAACATCTTCTCATGATCAACAGAGCACAGCCTGTTCGATGATACCTTTTTCACATATAGGGTTCAGCAATCAACTATACGCTGATGCTCTTCCATTCCATCCAGAGAAGAGCCACTCGCCTGGTGGGTGATGCCACACTCACTAATTCTCCGCCCACCAAACTCCTACAATAATAAATACATAACAAGATATACTTGCATTATAATGAACGAGGCTTTGTCGAATCTGATGAAATGATCTACGTGAAAGAATCAGAGAACAGCGTGTGAAAAATCGGCAGTGAATGATAAAACCCTTTCCATTCACCACACATTAATTTCCATAAAAGGAAGCAAACGTTTGCACTATTATAGTTTAATTAAACTCTTCTGGTGAAAAGTGGTTAGCTTCACCGAACCATTTTTCCGATGATTGTTTCCCTAGCCGGCGCACACAATTTCCCATGATTTTCCAGGCCATTATGGCAGGCCAATTATTGTTCCGTCGGTAGGTCAAACGCACACACTAACTTGAAGTGGTTTTCCAGCAATGTTTGCCAACGACCCATAGAAATTACAATGAAGTTTAAAATCAGCATGGGCATTGGGGTTATTCGCTGAAATTGCGAATTGTTACATGGAAAAAACTCAATACAAATATACAGACATTAACCACTGTTAACAGTTTTGAAGATTTTATCAGTTATCCCAATAAATATTGGTGAATCTGGAATATCTCAGTTGATTTGTTTCAAGATATCATTGCATCAAAAGATTCAACTTTCAGGAGAGGAAGATATGATCTATATTAGATTCCTATTTTCCTCCTGGCTGAATGAAAAATCCGAATCATTTTTTCTTCTGTGAACAGGTTCATTCCTTGCTAAGTCAGGTTCAAAAACATGTTCACCAAGTCCTTTCCAGGACGTGAACCTTCGAGATACCTATTTCATGCAGGTGCTTCCTAATATATGTTCGTAGTCCATCATCAACCTTGGCTGAGTACTATCAAACTTCACAATATAAACTGGTGACTGTTCATCATCTCCCTGAGACCACTCAGTAATTAGTTCACTTGTGCTTCGGGCTTTTATAGTATGCTTCGAGATAATAATACATAAACTACTAGATGGCATCCAGCGAGAGAGAGAACAATTGAAAATAATAAAAGAGTGAGAAATCATCTGATAATTGGTGAAAATATGGCACTGCGAGATATGTTAATTCTATTCGAGTTTTGAGTGTGAATTTAAGTAAATACTCAAAGACTTTGGTGACTGAATTATTTACGAAAATCTGTCATAAGTGTGGTAGAGTATAGAAAGATCCAGTTTAGTTTCCATTTGACTGTTTTGAAGAGTATCCAAGATGGTGGCGCTTCGTTCAGCCTATGGTGCACTAAAAAAAATCATCAATTCAGCAGGTTATGAAGTGAGGGCATCTGAATGATATTCAAGAATAATTTTCGGGTTTTCTAATGTTCACATTTCCTGAAAATTCGAATATTCCATATTATAAAGAGATAATTTCCATCCTGTGAAAAATGCAAGATTATACTGATAGTGTTGCCTTGCTGCATTCTAGTCGTCACAAGGTATTGAAGATAAAATCTCGATGGCTTCAACTGAGTAATCCTTCCTTATGTTCTCCGAAACACAAACACTCATCGCATCAACTCTAATTTGCACTAACGTAGTGTATTACCCTAATAGGTGTATATGTATGTGACTGATCAGCTTCTCTTCAAAAGCATTGAAGTAGTGACCTAACTGATGTACAAACACTACAAACATACAGTGATGAAGCATAAATTGGGTAATGTGTGTATCCAATGTTAATATTTGAATAGGACCGGTGAGAGCAAGATTTTCTCCTTGTGTTGGTTAGGAAGGCTTCTGAATAATCACCAACGGATTTTTCATACGAACTTCGAGAACGGCTCGAGCTTTCGCATTTCCATTGGGAACGAGTCGATTTTGAGGATATCCAGCAATGATTTACATTCATTAGCCCTCAGGCTCTCGAGAATGAAACGAATCAGTTCGGATACCCGGCCAAGTATAGTATATCGAGTCATTTCCCCTGCTGAAATTCACTCTGTGGGCCTCTGGTCCCATTTCAATTAGCCGTGTTAGTCTAGTTTTCAGTCGTGCCTACCAAAACTGGAATCTCTTTATTCGTCGAAAGATCACGTCTAAATCATTACGCCATGACAAATTACGTGCGAAGCGAGCTAGGGGAGGAGGTGTGTTTTTGATATTTCTTGATGTGATGGCAGAGTGGACTAAAAACAAAGGCATGGAAGCTATTGTCGGCTTCTCTCGTGGCCAGAAGCTGTGACAAATTACCGTAACAGGATACTGTCCGCACTGCTGAAGAAAATACAAGCTTTCCATGAATAATGATGGAACACTCAGATTCAGGACGTTTGCCAGATAACAGACATAATTTATTCATTGAAGAGTATTGAACAACCTAGAGTGAATGCACATATCGAAATCATAGAGAAATCCTTACATGAAGACGAATACAGTACAAAACACGTTTTCGATATTGATTATGGTCTGAGAATTTTACATGTTACAGCAGAGGAGCAATATGAGAAAACTTATTGAAAACATCTAAACAAATGGGAACCAATCAATTTTTCACTTTCATTTTCTCACAGAATATAGGTTTATAGGTTAAAATAATGGCTTTACATATAGCCAAAGGGGCTTATATACAGTGTGACCCACTTCTAATGGAAACACCCCTGTATTTTACGTAATCGTTGGGTATGGATCCTGAAATGTGCTGGAGCGAGAGATATACCAAAAATGCACTTCATGACCAAGTGGGTTCATCTTCAGTGATATACACTGCTCGCCAGCAGCCATGGAACCACCACAATTTCCGTAAAATGATATTAAGAGTGAAAACAGGTTGGAAATCACTTCGGATTCGGAATCAGGACGCCCAATTCACTAACTATTCATGTTTTTACTAGAAAATATTCAGTTCAGAATATTGTCTCACTTCTCATGGAAGCACATCCGTATCTCACGTAATTATTGAGGTAGGGTTCTGAAATTTGCAGGAGGAAGGGAAAGTCCAAAGATTAAGTCAATTACGTAATATACGGGGTTGCTTCCGTGAAAAGTGAACAAAATTAAATTTTTCAGAACTGAAAATTTTCCAGAAAAAATATGAATAGCTAGTGAATTGGGTGCCTGATTCCGAATCTGAAGTGATTTTAGCCCTATTTTGACTCCTTATATGATTTTCCGGAAATTGGGGTAGTTCCATGGCTGTTGGCGAGCAGTGTAGATCACTGAAGATGACCCTATTGATAGAGTGCATTTTTAGTATATCTCTTTCTCCAGCAAATTTCAGGATCCATACCCAACGATTACGTAAGATGCAGGGGTGATTCCATTAGAAGTGGGTCACACTGTAAATATATATATACAGGAGGGGAGTAATAAGGCAAAATATAGATGTCTCCAGGTTATACCGAGGTTACAGGTATGTTCCAGGTCATACCGAGGTTATAGGTATGAGGAGATTGAAATGGAATCAATAATTTTCAGAGATGGAGTATCTTTAGTAAATCACAATGATGAAAATTGTTGTAGCCAAATGAGAAAAGTTTGTCGAACTAGATTTCCATATTGGAATAATTTTTTATTTAAAATTCAGTGATATTTGAATACGAACTCGTTTCATTTCGTCAAATTGGATTCGAATTCTGTAGACATTTTATTGAAAGAACAAACAAAAACACTAGTACTTTTCAGTTTCACCCAAACTTTCAAATAGCTCCATAGCCAAAGTCCTGGATATTATACAGCATAATATCAAACTTGTATAATTTGCTGAATTTATGCAATATACCATACTCGACTAACTTTATAGAGTTTGTTTGAGGAATTTAGGGAGTAAAAAGTGGAAATATGAAACTGAAATTATTAGAGGGCAAGAATAATGAAAAAGAAAGAGCTATTACGGCGGACGATCCAAGACTAAAGGTCTTACGGAATATAGTCTGATGTTAGACACCACAAGAATTTCTTTATTCAGGTGGAGATGAAGATGCTCAGATCCAAGTTCAAACACCTGAATATTCAGAAAAAAATTATCGATTCTGTAGATAAGGTCGTCAACACCGTTTCATTGAAGAACCGAATCCAATGGTTCCAGCCATGTTTCATGGGTTACTACCAGCAGAATACGCAAGAATTCCTACGTTACTTGCTGGTTGGTTTGCATGAAGATGTGAACAAGGTGTTGGTGAAGCCAATTTTGACAGAGATTACTGATGATATGAACGATGACAAAAGGGCAGAAGAATCATGGAAAAGATATTTGAAAATGACAACAAAAATAATAGATAATTTCGTCGGTCAGTTGGAATCGACCTTGAAATGTTCTTTCTGTGGTTACTGCTCGGTCACCTTCGATTGCTTCTGGGATTTGTCGCTGCCTTTACCACAAAGGACTGGTCACATGAGGCTATCACAGTGTATGGACTCTTTCACACGTGAGGAAACTCTAGACGAAGACGATATGCCGACTTGTTCCAAGTGTAAGGAGCGCAGGAAATCTACGAAAACTTTGTCTTTTCACAAGTTTCCAAAAGTGTTGGTTATTCCTTTGAAATATTTTAGGTCTTCCGTATGTTCGTCAGACAAAGTCAACGTCATTAGAGACTTTCCGCTCGAGGATTAAGATTTGAGCAGCTACGTCGCCAAATGGCACGAATATGATGACTCCCGTGTTTCTCCAATACTATCTAAATCTCCCGTGAGTGGTGATGCAAATATGCTCTTTTACGTGCAAGAAGACCAACAATCCTACGTTTGAATTTTAGTTAATCTAACTTCATAATATAATATGAGCTCAAAGTTTCATTTCAGATTTGAGGCTTTCCTGGTTCATTTAACACACATTCTTTGTAAACCGAGACATATCTCAGGCATTCGAAACTTCGCGAGAGAAAACGAGGGGATGATAATCGATTCATTCTGGCCTTCCAGTCTATACGTATAGGCCTATCCCCATCAGGTTTCGATGAGTGACATGTGATGAGGAGGTAGATATCGACGAATAACTGTAATTACATTTCTTTTCGCCAAAAATCAAACGTTGGAAGGCGATATCCCAAAAAATTTCCCCAAGTCGTTTACAAAAACAAGACATGTAAGCACCAATATATAGGTACAGAAAAATAATTGTACACGGTGATTTTTCATATTTTACTCAACAACTATAATGATAATAATAATAATAATCGCTTTTATTGACAGATAATGGTTAACAAAAATCTCAGTTACAGAATCGTTCGAATGGGAATAAGTATTTTTTGTAGGCATTCAGGATATATTACTAGAAAATGCAAAAAAACATCGTAAACCCAAACATTTTACATAAACTGGTGTTTTTTAAATGGCAAAACCTGTATTTTATTTTCCTAATCGGTATAGCTCTTTCTTCTGATCAAAATATATATACTTCATTGAAGTTTTCAAATTAGGAGGGTGCTGCGAGTTGAAACCGCACATCTGCGTATACAGGGAAGTGCAAAAAAAAACCACCAGTGCTGTAACTTCTGAATCACTCGAGATCGGATTCCGAAATTTGGTGGCTAGCAAGTTTACCGAATTGCTCGAATAATGACAAACACATTTTCGTTCTCTCACTTTCGGTTCAACAAGGGACAACCCCAACTTTTGATTTTTATATAGAGCACCCTGAATATTCTTCCATCTTCCGATTCAGGAGATCGTTTCACACACACTAGAAACTTTTTTTGATTAAAATCTCGAAGTATAGGACAATCCAGATGAAAATTGATATTTCCAGTCAACAGAAGGCACTAGCCATTTTATTCCTTTATGAGGGCTTATACACTCACCGGCGGAAGAAAACGAGGCAGCCAACAATTTTTACGAATTGATCGCCCTGTAACTGTTTTATTTCTTGTCCGTTTCTGTTGAAATTTCGACCAAATCGTAGATTTACATTTCGGAGTGTTAGCCTGAATTTCATTTCTTAATAAGCTGCTGGCCTGATCATTATCCAGAGAAAAACGAAAGTTACTCTTTCACCCTTACCTTCTCAATGCCTTGTGGCAGAAGTGATTGTTTAATCAAAGCATCATCATGTTTTATATTGAAGTGGGATCTCTTGTCATCTCTTTTCAACACAATGGTTCTTGATTCACGTCGATATGTTCTTTTCAAGAGAATATTCAACTGTTTCAAGACAGTATGAAATTTTTTGTCAAAAATCATTCAGAACCTATATAGCATCTTTGGGATGAACTCCAGAGGCTCATTCGTCTCTGTCAGTTTGTCCGGCCTTGTCAGAGACTCTCCATGAGCTATAATTCGTCCTTCAAGGAGAATTTGTGGCAATTCCTCAGACTGCTTGAGAAATTTGATCAAGTCGTTGCCACGGCGGTTGAATGCTGTAATTCAAGCTCGAGGAGGACATACTTGTTATTGACGACATCTAAGTTTGCTTTTCATTTGTTTGTAGTACAGCTTGGCCATTCTAGCTTGGCCTCTGAGAATTGGATGCGCAGTAGACCAGTCGGCGGAGTGAGGTGAGAGCTCATAATGGTCAGGAAAATGGTATAGAACAGTACAGTACCATTGTACTTCCCGATAGAAGGGCGTAGTTGATCTTTCTCGCACACTAACCATCTCTGTTTATCGTTTGAGCATCTCAGGGGCCAAGCTAGAATGGTGAAGCTGTAACTACACTGCCGTGTAAAAAGTTGAAGGGCACCGACTTACATTTGAAATTTTGGTGACGGAACATTTCAAATTTTGGCGGCGGATCATTCACCATTTTATTCGAGGAGAAAAAATCGCTCATCCTGAAGAATTTGATCAGGCTGATGGATCAAAACTATTAAATTATGCTATTGTCATCCACCCTTGACAAGTGTGCGAAGTTTCTATTCCATTCGACGTTTAGTAGTGGGTAAAAATCACGTTCGAAGATTCCGTTAATATAAACATACATACCAAGCCAATGAAAGCCTTGCAAAAAAGCTGATCTAATCTAATCAGCCTGGCATTCGGAAAGAACCATTTCGTGACCCACATTCATACAAATCTTCAGACTTGTTTCGATCCAAATTATTCTAGTAATATATCGACTACGACACTTGTCTTCTCGTTGAGTATAATTATCTGACAATCGCGAACTTATCTTGTCCACCCTGTTCGTTCGATGCTGGTCGGAAACTCCGAGAGAAATGAGGACAAAGAGCGTTTCGGAACTTAGAATTCATGGTTGGAACTCCGTTCGCTATAGATATCCGATAGAGTAAAGATGATTAATTGTGGAAATGAAAACATCATCTTAGCGGTGGGAACTCGGCGGAGAAGCACTTCATTATTCCGGCATAGTCATTCAGATTATATTATTTAGAGACAGATGCGGGGAATTCTCGATTAGATATTTACTACGAATACATTGAGTTTGATGTGGTTGTTGAAAGGGAAAGGGTTCTGATTTATTTCGAGAGGATTTTTCTTTCTATTATTTGCTACTCTGAATTAAACATGTAAAAGTGTGTATATCAATATTATATGTCTGGTTTCATCATATTGTGTTCTTGCTCGAATTACAAAAACTCATATACATCATTTCACATCATTTATAATACACAGATGCAATTTGACATTTCTCATTCTTGATAATTGTTGGTGCTTATATTGGGTTTTTACATTTCAAAGTGTTCATAATTATGCCTCAACACAATAATATCACGCTAGTACTTAATACTGTCGGAATTTCAATTTTTTTGCACAGCCTACTTTACCGCAGTTTATGAATAAATAGTGAAGAACTAAATGAGTCCTCGAAAATTACTAAAATCATCGACAAGTTATTCTGTCAATCGAACAAATCTATCGATAGTTCACCTAATTATACTTTGAAGATGTTAAACTTGGCAGACTGTTGTTTTTTTGAATTAACATTGGCTTTTGCATCACAAGCTCAATAAATATGCCTCGAAATTGGAGCTGAATATTCCTTAAAATAATAATAAACCACCTGTCAAATTGTCAAAGTAGGTAACTTTATAAAATTTTTCCTGCTCTTTGTTATTACCGAAATAGATCCACGAAATTTTGCCAAACAGAGTGTGGTTTTCTTCTTCTTCTTCTTTTTTTTATGTTTCTTGGCTTTCTGACTCCTCGCGGTGCCAATTCCACCAGATCAGGTATCAGTGTGGTTTTCAAAATAAAATATATTTTCTGTTTTTCCTCAAGACAGACCTGAATTCAGTTCTCAAATGTTATTAAGTTCTGATGGATAATATGAGTGGAATAGTGGAATCAAAGTGTCCTCTATCTACAAGTATCGTTTGTACATTCAAATCTGAATTTGACTTGATGTTAAGTATTTGAGTATATCATGATTTATATAGCAAATTTTTTGAACTGCCTTTTATCGAAGTAGCATAATGAAGGTCCATCAAATAATCAAGAGTATAGATACTCACAAAGAAATTAGCTGAGATAAAATATAATAGGAAAGTAAGGTGAGTTTCAATGAAATAAAATAAGACAAAGAAAATGTATAATGATTTGAACGTTTTACTTCTCCTGCTGCTGATGATAAACATGGAAATTTCGAACTGTAACATTGTGGATTAATTAACAAGATTTCAACATTACCTGATGCTCGAGTCAGAATGAAGGTTGTTCACAATTATAGATATATTCTCTATGTGGTATACCTTACAACAGAATCGTCAGAATATGACTCGCTTATTAAATTTATTCTTATTAGATATATTTTTTCCCTTTCAAGATTATTCCGATACAGAATCGATCGACATACTAAAAGTTTCATGGAAAAAATAAGAGTGGGTGTTTTCTATAGGAATCCCGACTCAAAAAGGTTCAATGTTGTAAAAAAATACCTATCATTATCATGATAGCCGAAATAAGGTATCAAATATTCAACTCTCTGTCTATAAGAGAACGAAGAAGAACATGGGAATATTTCATGAAACATGCTGTATTCTCAAAGGTCAAATATTCCTTGTTCTCAGATGTGAATCTATAAAAACAATCATTACTGTAAAAGATAACATAACATGAAATTGGTATTTCCAAATATGTCCATCAGGTATTACTCGAACTGGTTCCATCAATATACGATTGAATGATTTGGAAAAAAATAATGCATAATTCACGTTTTTCTCCAGCATGATGATGAGGGTGAACATTGTACGTCGGACCCTGTTACACAACGGTTGAGGGAAACAAACATACACGGCAGATGTCAGCTGAATTTTTCATTTCAAAACTTTGCACACCAATAAATGGTGAAAGCTCAAAGAAGGAAGGACCTGATACATATTCTATCCGACGCATCGCTGCTTGAAAACTTGGAAGAAGAACGTCTCACGACAATTCCAGCAGTGTATATTTCCTCCTAGACTGCCACACCAATCATCACATCAGAACAAACGAACAAAAGAATAGGATAGATAGATAACTTAGGAGAAACACTGTCAATACAATGTCTCCAGTAATCTGCCACTTGTCATCTTATTATTATGCACATTGACTTCGCTTCCCTTCAGCCTGAGTACAACTCCATAACTTAAAACAACTCATAACTTCTGGACCCGTAATTTTCACCACGCAACTGGACAGATGTTGAGGTTGACATGTTACAGGATGTTTTCATTAATC